GCCCATAGTGACTAAAAGCTGCCCCCTCCCTCCCCAGTCGGGTTTTAGGGATAATCAGTAAATTACTGCCAGATGGTCTGAGCGACCTGCCTGGGACATACCTTACAGTCATGTTACTGATGTAGGACAGAGCAAAATCACGTACATATTTACAAATTAACAAATAAACTTTAAAATCAGTCCTAGAAGCCAGAGGAAGCCAGTGCAGGGATGTGAGAGCAGGTGTGATGTGATCCCTGTGCCTGGTGCGTGTTAACCCTCCGGCAGCAGCATTCTGGGCCCATTGTAGATGTGAAATAGATTTCTTAGGCAGACCAGACAAGAGGGGATAACAGTAATCTATTCTACTAGACACAAAAGCAGGTATTATTTTTCCACAGCCAGCATATGACAGCAGACCCCATATGACTCAGTGCACTAAGCCTGTGTGCTTGTAATCAGAGGGTCACCGGTTCAAACCCAGCCTCAGCATGTCAGTGGCTCCTTGAGCAAGGCCCTTAACCCCCAGCTCCCTGGGTGCCCTAACAGGTGGCTGCCCTTTGCAGACAGCTTACTCTACAAAAGAGCAAGTTGAGAGAGGCATAAAAAAGACAATTTCCCCACGGGGATCAATAAAGTATTGATTATTATTACTACAAATAATGCGACTTATCATGGAATTCCATATCAGCTGTTTCACTATTGGAGTGTCACAGTTGCCTGACAACCAATTGACCAATCACAGCCCGACTTCCAAACAGCCAATCACAACATGACCCACTGTTCCTCTGGGCAACATCATCCTACGCTGAAAAATACAATGCTGTATCCTGCACTGATCCACGATAATACGCAATTTATTCCATATTTTCACACACATATTTCCTACTCTGCAAAATTAATCATGGGGCACACCCCACCCCCCTGTTTGGCAAGTTTCATATTCAGGGAACCAACGTTACACCCCAACAGGGCTGTGCATTCAGTTTACATCTTTAAAAAAAAAAAAAACTATAAAATTAATGTAGAGCTGTAATTACTGACTGAACATGCTTCTGCAATTCACAGTCAATAGTTACATAGACAAATTTCATAGAGGTGTGCAGCCTTGCAAAGAAGATGTCTGTGTCAGTAACGTGCTCTGGCCTCATCCCTGCTAGACGTGGTGATGAAATATACAGCAGATTATCGTCGCTGCATCGATGGCTGTCAGAATGGTGCCCAATAAATGGTGTGGGTTATACAGACAATTGGCGAACGTTTGGCTTTTGAAGAGGGACGGTATTCACCCCTCGCGGGCTGGTGACGGTCTCCTGTCCAAAAGCATAGCTCATAGTCTCCAGGCAAATAGGCATAACCGATCGCCTGCTAGTCGCTTAGAGTCATCACCTAGGGTTCATGTTACTGGGACTGTGTCTGTTCCCCGCACTTTTAATCGTGGAGGTCTATTCCACCGTAGTGTATGTCATAATAACTTAATAATAATTCAACCAAATCCATTATTAGATAACAGGTGTAATGCAAGGCTAAAACTTTGTTCTTTTGAATGTAAGATCACTGGCTCCTAAGGTGCTACTAATAAATGAAATCATTACTGATTTTAGTCTTGGTCCTTATGCCTTACTGAGACCTGGCTTAAACCGAATGAATTCATGGCACTAAATGAATCGACTCCAGCTGATTACAGCATAATCCTCGAGCAGATGGCAAAGGTGCTGATGCTGCTGTGATATTTCAGTCTAACCTAGGAGTGTCTGAGCAAAGTGCCTATAGCTTTATCACATTTGAAATTCTTCTTCTTAGTCTTGCTGGCTCATCTTTTTGTAGTTCTTCACCTCCAATCACCATTGTTATTGTGTATAGACTGCCTGGTCCCTAACC